AGGTATAATTTTTGCTTTATCTGATTCACTGATGTCCTACAGTTTTTCATCACTTCCCTCTCAATCAACCAATCTTGTTTTTCTGTAGTTTATTTTTTTTTTGGGAGACCAATTTTCTTCTACTTAAATTTTGAGATAAAAACTTAGACACAATTTTCTGAACTTTAGATCCACATCCAGATTTAGAAATATTATGCAAAAATTAAAATGCATGATGAATTTGAATGAGTTAATCCGTAAAGAATTGTGAGTTTCTACTAACATATATTTGCAAAAATATATATAAATATATATATATATATATATATATATATATATATATACATATATATATATATATATATATATATATATATAATATATATATATATATATATATATATATATATATATATATATATATATATATATATATATATATATATATATATATATATACCTCACCTCTGCAGCACTCAGGCTGAAATTGTCTGATAATGCAAAAACTATGACTGTGTCTGCTGTAATAAAAGCTGCTGGTGATAATATAACTTAGATAATTTTGATATATCCAAATTATTGTATCGTCAAGATAGAATTTTACCTTTTACTGGAACGGGAAGTTGAAAAATAACATAGTAGATGTGCAGCATAAACTTTTAGGTGTGTTAATGTCGCTACTCTTGAATACCGTGAAGGAAAATGGCTCGGTAATTCTGCTTTCGTAAATTAAACAGGAACAACTTAAGCAAATGCAACATTGGATCTCTATTGAAGCTTGGTAACTAAGGCACAAGATTGTGGCGTTAGTATTTAATACCACTGCCAAAAATATTGACATTTACTATGGTGCTGCTAAATTGATTGAAGATAACCTAGGTCTAAAACTTATTTACTTTGCCTGTTAGCACTACGTTCTTGAAATCTTTGTCGGAGCAGTTTGCAACAATGTATTTGTAAATAATTTTGTTCAAGAGAATAAACTTTTTGCTGAATTTAAAATTGTCTTGACAAAATTAAATGAATATTTGTTAATCGAAACTTTAGCATTCGAAGGCATCCTGCTACAAAACCTCAAAGAACAGACCATGTATCATTTAACACATCTCTTTGCTAACAATAATGCTACATATTTCCAAGAGATGAATACTGCGAATGTACCGAAAACACACTCACCATCCTAGGGAACACTCCATCGCGGGGTGTGCGTTTTCATGAACCAGGAGCTATTCACAAAGCTCGTAGGATAGCATGTAACATTTATGCAAACAACAAGATTTAACGAGGTAATTGTTTTTTAAATAACTGTCTTATGATCAAATAATGACAATCAAACTATTTAGAATGAACAGATATTTTTTTTATTTCCACAAACCAGCCTAGATAAAAGCTAAAGTTCATGTTGATAAACCTATGAATAACCGGCAATTTGTCCACAAGATTATAGACTACTAAGAAATTGACGAAGAAGTTGCTGATGCTTGTCTTTTATTTAAAAACATATTAGTTTTGACATTAGCTTATTAGGATTTTACCCTATGAGAATTCAATCAAACTTACTAAATCCAAATAATGAATTAAAAATAAACGTCATGTTTTATGATTCACTTTTGGTAAAAATGTTTTGCTAAAAACTTAAAACTCAGTTGCATTTTTATCAAGGTATTGAAGATCTTTCAGATAACACCCACCACACGATTCAATTTTACACATTAAATTTTTAAGCAGAGGAAAAAAGAGAAAAAGAAATGTATAGATAAAACTTGATTATTGTTAGGAAAAGTTTAGTTTTGTTAAACTGGCACATGGTGTATGATCATGGTTTAATCCATAATTGTTTGTATTTTTTGTTACTTGTTCTTAAGGAATAGCAATTGCTTTCTTTGTATACTTGTTACGTTAAAGTACTTACATAGCTAAGACTTTTGCGTTGCCAACATAAAACTTATTTTAAACATCACTTGCCTAATTTCTCTTGACTTAACTATTAACTTAAAAACATTTTACTTGTCTTGATCATATCTGGTTCACAAGGAGTTTAATTTATTATAAAGATGCAACAATAAATATATTCATTAAAAATTCAGTACTTTCGTAATGAAGTAATTTTATTTGGGTTTGAAATGAAAACCAAATAAAGTTATTTGATTGAAAGCCAAATAAGGTTATTCTACTAAGTTGGCTTTTAAACAAAAATATTTTAACAAAAAATTAAACTTTCACACTAGACATAGACAAATTTTTGATTGCAATTTTGACAAAACTGTCAAAATTGCAATAAAAAATAAAATATATATTTCAGAATTCAGTAGCACTTCTATAATTTTTTTTGTCTTGACTTTTATCACTTGTAACACGCCAGCTCTATTTGTCCTTTTGGTTTTACTGAGGAGGGATTACGGTTTAAATCTGAAAATATCACTCAAATTTGCAGGCTAAGGATTTGCATAAGTGATTTTATTCTTATAATAAATTATTCTTGATTGACTTTTTTAATGTATATTTATAGAATTTAGCTTCGGTTTATTTATTCTTCTCAATAAAATGTTAGCGTATAGATAACTTTGGTTTTAAGAAAAATGGGAAGTTTTTAGATTCTCTTGCAAAGATATAACCTTAACTTTTTAAAGCTAGATAAAGATAGGCTGATACTTTTTGATACTTTTGAATTGATTCTTTTTATATTTGTTTTCCATAAATCTTTTCCTCAACAAATATTCAAATAAGTTTAATTGTTTCAGTTCTTTAGGTATTTATATTATCAATATTTAGTAATGGTAAGATGCTTAATCTTTTAAATGCAATGAAACAAATTATTTTTAAAAAATTTATATTCTTTAAACTAGATGTTCAGGTTTTCAATGTCATTGTTCACAAATTCATAGAGATTTTTGATTAGAGCTTCGATTGATTAACATGAATAAAATAATAAAATAAGACCGAGAGTGGAACCTTGGGAACTCTGCATTTTAAATCTAGTAAACTTGAATACTTAGTATCATTTGAAATAATTCATTATTGTTTGTTACAAAGGTCTCTTTTAAACTAAACAAGAATTGGACTTTGTATCCCGTGTTATTCCTTTTTTTATTAAGATACCATGATTAACCTTGTCAAACGCTTTGACAAGGTTAATCATGGTATCTTCTTTGTTTTTTTATGCGATTTATTTTTATCATAATATCCCAAATTTTTTTAAATTTATGATTTATGTTTTTCGTTCTATTTGAGTAATAATTTTCCATTAAAGTATTTTACTTTTTTCAAACAAGATATTTGCATAATAAAAAAATATTTTTGTTTCTCTTAAAAAACAAATCAAACAAAAAATTTGAATAGAAAAAATGAAAAAGTAAAACTATTTGTTTTACTTATTTTTATTTGTTTACGTTTCTTGTTTTACTCTTAACACAAATATTATTGTGTTTGAGTTCAGATTTCAGTAACTTTTTTTAATTTTATTTGTCAAAAAAAGCATATTTTGATGTAAATTAAATTGCGTGGTACAATAAAGATGTCAAAATTGTACATTTTTACAGAGTAAATGTTTAAATATTGTTTTAAAAAACATCACTTTGTTGGGTGTTTTTCTTCCAATCCTTATATTTCACTTAAATGCTTATATTTCACTTAAATGTTTATATTTCACTTAAATGCTTATATTTCATTTAAAGGCTTATATTTCACTTTAATACTTGACATTTTGAACTAGTGGCATCTCCTCACCAAACCCAATAACTTCAGTCTTAACAATTTTTAAATGAGAAAGCAAACATTTTGCAGAGCAGTTATTTAAAAATATTCCTGCAAGCATTTTGACGTTGATTCAACGTTAAAAAAGCGGTGATTTAAAGACGTTAATTTAGTCGTTGAATTGGAAATAAAAAATCGATGTTGGTCAATCTCAATTTTATCTAATCTCAATAAATTAATGTTGAGCTGATGTAACCTTTTCGATAGGAAGCACTTTGAAAAACTTACTAAAATGTATTTTTAAAATGATTTAAAAGTGGGAGTACTGGGGTAATTTAATTTTTCTTTTCGCAACTACCTTAATTCTCATTAGACTTAAACGTCACAATCTACATCACAGTCATCATCATCTTGATTATCTTTATCATCTCCTATGATTAACTTCTTCACCGTCTTTTTCTTGTTTTTAAGCTGTTTGTTTACCTCCATTTAAAATGATAAGGTGCATACTTCAAGAAGGAGGCTAAAAATGCCCGAGTTTTTTGTCTGTTGCTTTTGCATAACAGCGCTTTATCAATTTTAGAAAATAAATGCAAAAATATTCAAATTTGGTCAAGCCAAAAAAAATTTAAATTTTTATTGAAATAATAAAAATTTTCAATATATATTATTTCAACTAAATAAATGAAGTTGACAATTTTTATGTAAAATGATTTATTTATTTTTTAATTTGTTCAAGAGGGTTTTGCAGCTATTTTTTGTAAATTTAATTAAAACTCATTTAATTTTAACAGGCAGCCATAAAAGAGAAATATATATATATATATATATATATATATATATATATATATATATATATATATATATATATTTATATATATATATATATATATATATATATATATATATATATATATATATATATATATATATATATATATATATATATATATATATATATATATATATATATATATATATATATATATATATATATATATATATATGTATATATACTGTTTCAAAACATTATATAATAAAAAAAAAACTTTGATATACAACGTCTTGCTTAATTTTAAACACTTAAACTTAAAGTAATATCGTACCAGTAATAATTAGGCAATTAGGCTTAAAGACAAATTGTCAAGAAATTTAATAAAAAGTGTATGATTCTTAAAAGTTTGACTGAGCGGTGTGAATTTAAACTATTTTATAAAATATGCGAAACAATGTTTTACTTTATATGCTTCAAATAAATTGAACCCATTGTTCCTAATAGTTTTTAAAATTTCTATTGATGATAATTGAACTAAATTCATTTTCTCTAGATGGTTTAATTAATCGCATTGTAGCATACTCCTTCAATAATATTTCCGGCAAGTATGAAATGAATGGTTTTAATAAAAGTATTAACTTTCCACTTGCAAACCCGGTAGCTAAATCTTTTAACGGAAGTAAGTTATCTATATTTATTAAAAATGATTCACTGATTATTAGAAATTGTTAAAATATTTAAAGTTTACTTTCGTATGTGTTTAATTAATTACTTGTATGATTATGTATTAAATTATAGATAGTTAAACTAATTAGACTAAGCGCGTATAAAAGTGATAATAAAATAATTGTTAGATTTTATTTATTTATGCAAAAGTGTTATGCAAAATATTTATTTATGCAAAAGTTTTGTAAAAAACTTATCTAAAGGTTTATTAAAAAAAATAATAAAAAAAAAAAATTTAAAAAAACTTATTGAAAGTTTTTTTTTTTTAAAGTGTAAATTTATAGTAAAAAAATTTAAATGCATTTCAAAACAATTTAAATTAAACAATAGTTTAATATTTTTTGAGCATTTTAAAACACACTTTTTTTAAAAATAACCTAAACAAAAGCGACTAGAAACTTAAAAAGATCGTTTCAAACAGGGTAGCCAAGAGAGAGGGGCAAATTGAAGTGCTTCACCCCCCTCTTTTGCTGTATTTTAAAGTGACCAAAAATATCTAAAAGTGATCTTGGTACACAAACTAGATCCCATTCAAACGATTGTGTTCAATGGAAATCAATATCAGACTCTAATAGAACAACAAAAATTTTGACGAGACGCTCTCCTCAGATCATAGAAATTTCCCAAGAGATTAAAAGGAACGCAAATTTTCTACATTTATTTTTAAAGAGGAAAAACGAAACAAAGGTATGTTTTAAAAACTTGGTTTGTTTGGTGTAAGACTGTAGCATAGCTCTTTTATTTTCAATGTTCTTTTTCTTAAATTACCTAATTACACCAGATCCGGCGTTCAATCAAGATCGCATCTTTGAATAGAGGTTTAAATTGTTATTGGAGAAAAGTTAACATTAATATTCATCAACAAAGCAATATTTTTTAAAACTATTATTTTATGGTACTTTTGAACTAATTGCTCGCAACAAAAAACGTTACATGATCATTTTCATCTTATTGCTAGCACCAACAAAGAAGAAAAAAAGAAAAATGCATTCAAGCTCATTACCTATTCTGGCAATTGTAATTTGATAAAATCATGACTTTAGATTAGCGAATGTGAAAAAACAATTCTCCCTGATAAAACTGCCGACTATTACTAACAATAAGTATCCAAAAACTTTTTAAGTAATGCATTTAATGTTGAAATGGTAAATCTTATAAGTCAAAATCAAATTAAAAAAAAAAAAAAAATGAAAACATGATTTAAATAATTGAAAAGAAATGTAACAAGTATTCTTTTATTTTGACTTCATAGAAATTTTAAATAGACAGAGAAATACTTTTTAAAACTGAGAATAAGAAAAAGCTCAAAAAAGCTTTATCCAGTAAATTGGAGAAAAAAACAAATTTCTAAGAACATTTGTCAGTTTTTTTTAGTTAGAAAAAAAATTCTCTATTAGAAATTTACACAAAGTCTCCTAAGCATATTAAAATAGATTTTCAATTGTTTCATGAATTTGATCATAATTTATCAATAGATTTTAAGTTTTCATCAAAACATCTTCTTTTGTCTAAGATTTATGAGAGTAAGAAATTAGAAATTCTGCTTAATTACCACCTGAAATAATATTAAATGGCCGTAACTTTTGAACGAGAGGGTTTTTTGAAATTAAAATGAAATTTAAAATCTGTTGATGAATTTTTGTCTAGTTTAAAATAATAAACAAACTTTTTTGAATTTTTTTTTTTTAAACCATACCCTAAAAGAGGGGAAATGGGGGGGGGGAAAGGTTAGGGGTCCCATAGCGTTTTAGGGTTGTTGATAGAATAACATTAAGGAATTCCTATTTTCCATATACACCTAAATTGATATATGCATTATTTGTTTCTTGATGTTTGTAATGAAGCGCCATTGCTACAATATCTTTAAAGCCATTGCAATACACAACAGAAGTATTTTTTTTACCTACTACACATGCATAAAAATAAAAATGAATGATACAAATTGTATTCTAGTTATCTAAAATAATTAAAAGAAATAATTAAAAGCTCTTTGTTTTCATTCATTTCAACTGCAATGGGAAATTATAATCATTGAACAATTTCCAATCAGCATGTTGTTCTCTGTCAGCTTAATATGGAAACCAGATTCCACACTTTATCTCTCAGAAACTGTGCAAATGCAATAATACTGCTATTACTTAGAATTCATAACAAAATTATTTAAAAATTGGTTTTAAACTCTTCAATCAATTATTAAAAAAAATTTTAAGTATTAAAAGTTTACCTGGTATGTAGTTTTAATGAAGTTTGTTTTATTTATTAGAAGAAAGAACTTGCTAATTAAAAATTAGCGACAGCTTACCGTTGCTAATTGTTAAAATTTGAAACGGTAATTGTAATAGTTGAATTCTAAAAACAGTACTCGGGCATCACAAAAGTTCTAGGCTGGCCTGATTTGAAACAAAAAAAAACCCTCTAGATTCTTGATTTCATATCTAAGTCTCTTTTTATACAATAAAATACTGTCTAAAATAAATCACCAACAAGTTTAAATGGAGAAAACCCTCTGATAAGAAAAAATATAAATTATTTAATTGAACAATTGTTTACAGTTTTTGTAGCTATATTTATTTATAATGAAATTGTAAGCTAAAAGGCATTCTTAATTAATATTAATTTTTATAAAGTTATTTTTTTTATTGATAATGTAATTAAAAAATATGACTTGTTAATATTAGTAGTATTAGTATTAGTAGTAGTAGTAGTAGTTTAGTAGTAGTTGTTGTTGTAGTAGTACGAATTTAATGTTGTTACTCAGTATTTATTGTTATTGCAATTTAGATAATGGTATTGGTTTTATTTACGGAAATACAAGAAAAAATGGAAATAATACGTTTCTTATCAGCGTGGATAGAACCTCACTTAGTGATGTTGGTAATTTTGACGTTGTCATAACAATGGCATTTGATCTTCCGTTTGGGAGCTTAAGTGAGTTTACATTTAAATTCTCTTGACAAAAAAAATGTTCATACGGTACACAATATGGATTTAACAAACCACTCAACCGATCATTTTTTAAATAAACCAATAACTCATATATTTAAAGTTTGTTGGTTTATTTTTCCATTTAATAACTTTTACAATTTAAAAGTTTAATTATTGAAACACGCATGGAGGACAAATGGGGGATTGGTGAGACAATGGTAATGCGGTGCAAGTAGAAGATATTATTTCGTCTCATCACCAAAGCCCAATATATATATATATATATATATATATATATATATATATATATATATATATATATATATATATATATATATATATATATATATATATATATATATATATATATATATATATATATATATATATTGTGTCTTTAGTTGGCAAAAAAATACTTACACCCTCCATGGAAAACCTCTTCATGACGGCCTTGACTAAAAAGTATATTTAAAATTTTTTAATTAAATGTAGGCATGAATCAAAGACTGTAAATTTTTGAAGCCTTTTAACAAAAATGCTTTTTTTTAACTAAGTCAAAGACTTGCTTTTCTCCGTTGAATATGTTCGAGGTAATATTTTTGACGTTTTGAGTTTAATGGTAGCAGCAATTTTTCAAAAGCGAGTAGTTGCTCTTAAAAATTATACAGTTAAAACCTTTTTGAAAACTTATATCCAGTTTAAAAAAAATATATATCCCTATGTAACATGTTCAGAATTTAATATTTTTGCCGTCATTGAAACAATCAAATGCATGACATGTATGTTGTGTTACGCGTCGGTTAACGCCTTTTATGTAATGCTTCTTGATAACACGATTGGTAATCGTCTAACTCCAACAAAAGTTATGCGTAGAATAATAACCACTGATACAAAGCGTAATATAATTATAATTTAATTAAAATGTAACGTATTGATACAACTAATCTTCCTTCTCATATATACCTCTCACTATAATACATATATATTTCCTCTATATTCCTCATATAACTTCTCTCAATATTCCTCATATATTTACTCTCTTTATAAAATTTTAAATCCCTTTTTTATATTGTTTTCGAAACCATAAGACACGTCTTATAGTTTCGAAAACAATATAAAAAAGGTTCAATAGTCTCTACTGACGTTTTCATGCTTCCGTAATTAATGTATGTATTCATGTATTGTTTTTTTCTAACTGTTCGCCTGAGTGAGTATCGTTGCTAGCTTCACATTAATTGCACGCTTGACTAAGATTGTTACCTTCGTAACATTACTTTAGGAGAAAAGATAAGTCCGTTTTCGAACTCAGATTCAGTATCAAAATGTACAACATTGTCAAACAACAGCCAAATTTCTTCAATAAAAAATCTCGTAAAATTGCGAATAACCAGTAAAAATATCAAATAAACTGGAAAACTGAGAATAACCAACATAAAGTCTCACATAAACAGCATAATTCATAAAAATCTTAAATAAACAGCAAAATTGCGAAAAACCAATAAATCTCAAATAACAGCGTAAAATTGCGATAAACCAGTAAAAATATTGATAATCAATAATACTCATAACAGCATAATCAATAAAAAACTTAAATAAACAGCAAAATTATAAGAGTTGCTACCCTTAAAGAAACTCATGGTGGTTGGAGGCGTTTCAAAAATCCATCCCGGAGTTTTACAAATACAATCTCCTGCCATTACCGTAAACAAGTAACGTTCTAGTCTCTGCGGACATCCTTGCAGGCTGGGCATTTGCAAATACGCGCAAGATGTTTTTTTCTTTTTGACAACGTTGTTGTTGATTGGTCCTGGGATGTCACCTTTTCTAATGCGTTATACGTGGTTTTCTTCCACAATGGCTTTAAACAAGGTAAGGCATAGTTTAAATTTGGTTTGTTCAATATCAGGTATACTGACATTAGCAGAAATGCGACCTATAAGAATGATTCACTTATTCTACCAATAAATTTCTGGAAAAAGGAGCCTGTTCCTTCTCCTACGCCTTTTACAGCACCTCCTCCAACTTTTAGACTTTAAATTAAAACAAAATCTTCTACACGTTAAATAGGATAGGTGCCTAATTTCTTCATGATTTCTTCATCGTATTTATTTGAATTCCATACTATTATTAATTGCGCCCAATCACAAGGAACACACCTGCGCATAAAATGGTAGCACGAACTCTTTGTAATATACTATTCTAGCGCTACAGCTTGTCCTGTAATTTGTCCATCATTTTTATTCATCGCAAAATATGTATATTCTGTTGTCTCTGTGCGCATCCATGCACAATGGAATTCGTCCGAGATGGCAGTTTTCCATGTACCTGGGCTAATTTCTTGAAAGCCGATACTTTAGTTTTCATAGCCGTCAGACATTCTCCAGCTGTTACCGTTATTTTTTGGGACTCAACGTCTTCAGTCTTTTGATTGAGGAAGATGGAATGACATTTAAGGGTAACTTTTTCAGCAAAGCAGTGATACAAAGATATTGTTGTCGTTTGAGGACGGTAGGCATAGACGTCGGCTATGAATGATTTTACGGATTCATTTGAGGAGTGCATATTACAGGTACTAGAAGTGATCGTCGGTAGCTGGTAAATCCCTATTGGTTGCACTCTTGTACAGTCAAAAACTTCGCAAATATATATACTTTGCACAAAAGTGGGTAAGACAAGCAAGCATGAGAGAACAACAGGAACCATTATGTTCCATAACTTATTTCTATGGAAAATTGCATTTGATAATAACATCTTTCTGGTCTGCTCTTTCTACGGTTGTCTATTTGGATATACCAATGTTATTGCGGAAACTTGTAAACTCTTTTTTTTCTTTTCTAAATATTTTTTTACCACATTTTTATCAAATATATTTTCTTCTGGTTCCCACGTATTTTGACTTCAAGGGTAATCCTACCACTTAACTAGATATTGAGTTTTATCTTTTCTTAGTCTTTTGTCTACTATTTCCTCTAACTTGAATATATACTTGTCATCAATATGGTTTTCTGGGAAATTGTGTATTTCATCTGTTTCTTTTTTATCGGGTGTAAATGTTACTTGTTTTTTACTTTCTGGTTAGTTTCCTCAAAACTAAACTCATCACTTGTTTCTCAAGCTTGATTGAGAACTTCGATGTCTAAAGTTATCTTTATTGTGAGTTTATCTTCGGAACCAAACAATTATTTAAAACGGGACACATAAACCGAAGTAGTAAGTTCTGTATTGTTCATATTCTTTACCTTTAAAGTTATGGGAGACGTTTTTTCGATTAGCTGAAATGAACTGTGCCAGAAGCTAGTGAGTTTTTTCGCTAAACCTTTCTTTGCAGCTGGTGTATATATCCATACTTTATGTCCCACTTAAAACGGGTACCCTTTAGCTGTTTGATCATAGTGTAACTTCATCATCGTCAGAGCTTTCTGGACATTTTCTTTTGCAAGATTACGTGACAATCGTAGGTCGGATATGAGTCGTTAAATGAGTAACTCGATGTTGTCTGTGGGGTCTTTTCTTGGTAATTAGTAGTATCATGAGGTTGAAGAGCGTCTTTGCCGTATGTCAACCTAAAGGGAGTTTCTCCATTGCTAGCAGATACACTAGTATTATACGCATAAACAGCGGTGGGCAGATAAACATCCCAACGGCGCACAGTGAGTCAAAATCCATAAAAAACGGCAAAAAACCCCCCATAAAAAACTTTTGCTAGAAATTAAATAATTAGTTTATAATGTCACTAAATACCACTAAAAGACAATAAATATATATTTTTTTTGAATAAAATTTAAGATTTCACCAAATTGTACGTTTTTTTCCGAGACTTATTTATTTTATTTTATTTATCGGAAAACTCGTTCAAAAAAGTCTAGCTTTAGCATCACTCTTTTAAGATTGATATAGGTGAAAACAGTTCAAAATTTAATTTGAAGTCATTTGTTTAAGATGTTTGCTAACTTTTAACAACATTTTTAACAATAAATTTTAATTTTAGATTTTCATTACTGAGATCTCAAAAATATGTCATAAATTGATTTTTTTAAATTAGTTTAATTATGAGTTTAGTTCAAAAACTAAAAAATTCCACTAGATTCTATGGTAGTTTTAATATTTTCCCATTATTAGGTATATATGAAAGCAGAAAAAATAAAAATCATTTGCTCCAACTTGTCCCAATTAAAATAAGACCTTTTAAGTACTTCGTTTTTTTTTTTTCAGTTATTAATTATAACTTGCGCATAAAGTAGCAAACAATAGTTCATTGCTTGCATTCATCACACAAATAATACATTTAGTTCCTAATACTAAAAAATATCATGCTCAAGCAGATGGTGCTAATTATCAAATCTCAAAACTAAAATATGCAATATTTGATGCTATAGTGCATATTTTAAAATTCAAACTTGCGTGTAAAATAACTAACAATAGTTCATTGCTTACATTAAACATGAAAAAAACACATTTAGTCCCTATAATTCAAGAGTTAGGAATTAATCATGATAATTTACTTAAAGCTCTTATACGTGAGTTTTTTAGACTAGAGGGTCTGTACTATGAAAGTATTGACAAACCTAAAATATTAAATCTAAACAAAACTCTAATAATATTTAAATATAAATTCCGATTAAAATTGCAGAATATTCAAGAACCTTCTCTAGACTTTTGGAACACGAGCAAATTTGGTTGAACAAAGATGTAACTGTTGACAAAAAAAACTTTGCAGCAGATCCAGGCAGAAAGAGCAATAACTGGGAAGATTTAGGTGATTTTATTATTTATTATTACCTTAGAAGCAGAAGATCTAAGGTAATAATAAATAAATTAAGTTCAACTCAGTTTGAAAAAATAGTTTACAAACTTAAATATTAAATATTATCTTGTTTAAGGTTACCAAATTGGCTGAACATCCTGCTGAAGCATTGGCATTAGCTTCAATTAAAAAAGCCACTAGAGATCCTACTAAAAAAGAATTTCGTTGTTCTCATGAAGAGTGCAACGAACTCTGAAAA